CCAGAAAACGGAGGAAAAAACTCAATAGGTCAAAGTAGCTCAGATGATTTAAATAATGATGGCTCCCCTTCCCCCCAGGACTGGGACTTGAACCCGGGACCTTTGCACTGAGCTACGTCCCAGTCCTTTTTATTTTTTATTTTGAGACAGGGTCTCTCTAAGTTGCTAAGTTGCCCAAGCTAGACTCAAAGTTGTGATCCTCCTGCCTCAGCCTCCTAGAGTGCTGGAGTTACATGCATGTGCCACTGCATCTGGCTGCTTTATTTTAAAACTGAGAATTTTGAGGAAAGGGATGAAAACTGCTCTTCTAACTTAAACCTCTATCGTAAGCAATTTTGTCACAGCTGTGTCTCTATTTTCCTTTTTTTCGGTTTTGAGGATTGAACCCTTGCACATCTTAAGCAAGTACACTGTACTATTCCTTTTCTGCCTTTTGATCAATTCTCATTTCTTATGCACAGTTTCTGGTGAACCCCTCACACATGTGAGCATGCTGCAGCAGGTAGTAGTATTAACCAGGATGGTTATTTGCTAATAACCACACACACACATTTTATTGGGTACCCCGGAAGACAAGGCTCCCTGATGATGGGGGATAAAGATGAATGAACACATTGGCAAGTCAGACATGTCCCAAGAAAAGAAAAAAAAATCAAAACAGGTGTTTCTACCTAGTGTCTGGAGGAACCTTAATGTGTTTGTCTTACCTGCTAATTAGTCGAGGCTTTTGCTGAGGAGCCTGAGCCATTTGCCACTCAGCATAAAAAGCCCACTTCGAAAGGATTTCTTGTTGAGAGGGAGGATGGGCCCCCCCCTCGCCAAAGATGAGAGCAGCCTGGATGTCTATCAAGACCCCACCCTCTGATTAGACCAGCTTGCAAAGAGGTCTCAATTGCCTAAACCTCAGGCTGGATTGCATAAACATCAGAGAGGCGCTGAATGCCAAACACCTTTCTAAGGGGGAGAAAAATAATAAGGTGAGATCACTTCATTCTCACTGCAACCTAAAAATAAATGGAAGGGGCTTCTCCCAGCTTCAGGGAATGCATATGGATTTCTTGCTGACATTCGATTCTCTGAACTGAATGTCACACTCGCTGAGAACAGTTAAAAAAAATAATAATGCTAGACTGTTATCGTTATTAGAAGGGCAAGAAGAATGAAATATCATGATTATCATTAGGAAACCCTGTAAAACATATTTGTACATTATCTTGGGGCAAATACAAGTGTCATGTGTTCCCAATTGTTAGGCAAAGAACGTGGTAATATATTGTTCCCCTCCAGCCCTCTGTGCAGCTCCATGCAGGGGAGAAATGATGTGCACAGTATGTGCAAGCAGCCGGAACGTGCTAGTGTGGTGTAGGGGGGTGCAAAGGGCCACCCCAGGACTGGTGACACAGTGGACAGCTGAGATGGATGAAGCAGCAATGAAGGAAGGTAGTACAAGGCCAGGCTGGTCACCTGGGCAGCTGGACCAGGCCTTGGGTGTGGCAAGGTTCACAGATACCTCCTGGCCAGGGTTTGGACGGGGCCAGGAAGTTGGAGTGCCAGGCTGTACTAAGTGTGCCATGATTCGGGGTCTCGGGAGGCCTCAGTCTGCAAAGGAGAGATTGGTTGATTCTCCTGACAGTGGTATGCATCGGAAAAGAAGTCTGGAAATGGATCTGGTGTGAAGAAATGTTCAAAGGAGCTTTCACCATTGAAGGTGAGCCCCCTCCCCTCCCTCTGTGCAGTCTCACTTTACCACTGCAAATTAAAGGTGTCTTTTTCTGTTTTATTTTGTTTTTGTTTTAGCATCAAAAACCCCTTTGAAAGTGTCATGAAAATAGAAATACATGGTGCACACAATATGTATCAGTGCTGTGGGCCCAGGATCCTCATTCAAATTCAGCCTGTAAGCCCTGAAAGTGCACAGGCCCCAGATTCAACACCTTTGCTCCTTGTGATCTAGAGGGTGCTTTCAAGCTTCAGCTTTCCAGGGTTCCCTGAGCTCTGCTCAGTATGGAGCACCTGTTCAAGGCCTGCAGGGAATGCCCAGGAACGGAGGGAGTGCTGAAGGTCCAGGACTCAGCCAAAGCCCCCAGGCGTCTGCCCACAATTTCCAGGCCCTGTCTACACCTGCTGGCTGGACAGAGGATCTAGAGTAGGTAGGAAAACCCAGGACACTATTCTGCACTGCCACAAAGGAAGGACATTTTTCTAGAGCCAAAGAAGAAAGCACTGTCTTTAGGACGAAAAAGATCTGTCCTCAGTCCTGACTCTCAGATGCTGCACAGGCTTGGCTGTCTCTCTCTCTCTCTCTCTCTCTCTCTCTCTCTCTCTCTCTCTCTCTCTCTCTCTCTGTCTTCAAAAGCAAGCCGTGGCCACAGAAGCTGTATATAGGTTTGCCTCCAACAAGAGCAATGTGCTGGCCCAAGAGGTTGGGGCCATTGGAGGTCTTTCTCTTTGGAAAACAAGGCTCACTTGAGGCTGCCTATGTGCTTTATTCCTGCTGAGAGCTTGGAGAGAAGGCAGCCTGTGCCTCTGAGACCTTTCTTCTCTCCCTGAGGGACCTGGCTGTGGCCCTGCCCTGCCCTAGGCTGTACCCAGTCTGATCAGAGAAGCTTAGATCTGCTCCTTCTCTCCACATGGCTGTGCTTTGTAAGTGAGCCTTTTGTCCCCAGAGGAATGCTATACAAATGGTGGCATTTCAGGCAACCTGGCTGGAATTGAGGAAGGTATTTGGGGACAGAAAGGCCTTCAGTTTACATAGAATCAGAGACACCTAAATATATTAAAGCCAGCTGCGAGTGAGTCTATTATAGGAAACCAGAATCCTAGAGCAGCTCTAAGAATCTCCTGCTTAGCCTTCTTTTGAGTAAACTGAGGCCCAAGGGTAATAGGGAAAAGACTGGGAAAAGGGAGCTTGCAGGAAGTTCAGGTAGAACCTAGAACTGCACTCTGGTACCCACTTTGACGCATCTTTGCATTTGGCCTTGTATCTCTGAGTGTGGACTTGGTGTTTTCCCTTTCTTCAGAGTATAAACCCTGATTGTCTGAAGTCATTTCTCACAGTAAGATTCCCTGGGACCTTGCTACAAACATGCAACCTCTGGTCCCTGGCCAGTCTACCCGAATCACAGTCTGCACATTTATGAGAACCCAGGTGACCTGCACTGAAGTTTGGGAAGCATGCTAGCCTCCGTTCCTCTTTTGCTTTCACTTCCAGGATGCTCAGAGCCAAGTCTCATACTAGCAACTGGCTCCTCTCAGATCTTTCAGTTTTCCTTCTTTGGGGTTGATCTGTAATTTTGCAAATGGACAGTGTTCACTTTCATAAGTGGTTACATGCAGGCAGGTAGAGTATGAAGAGGTAGAGGGGGTAGAGGGGCAGATGCAGGCAGTCTTGACACTGTGTCCAGAGCATAGTAGTCTCTCTCTTCCCAAAGACAAAGGCTTCTTATCCCTGCATGGACCCCTGGACCCCACCAGCCTGCAGGACACCTAGCAAACTCTACTGCCTCCCACAATCCCAGCACCTCCAGGAATCCCCATGTACCCCCACTGATTCCCGTGGGCCTCCCAGACCCTGCAGCTTCCACACCCTCCATGAGGCCCCACTGCCCCCCCATGTGAATAACCTTAAATAAGCTACTACCTTTTCAAGGGGGACACCCATTCCCTCCCTGTGCTAGTGAGCATCCCTTTTTTCTCTTTGCATCTCCAGTACCACCCCCAGACTTGCCCACTCATTTGGGGTGAGGTACTAAGCTGGGAAAAATATGTGAGGACATTAATCCCAGGTATTATTTTTAAATATGTTATGATTTGTTAAATTATATGACCCTGAATGACAACTCAGGCAAAGCAATAGAGGACACCATCAGGCCAGAGCATGCACTATTTAAAACATCCTTTTATTTTAAAAATCTTAAAACACTGCCTCCTATCAGGGTGCGGTGGAACTGCAGGCATCTGTGTTAGGTGAAGAGAGGAGGGACATCCCTTCAACACACTGGATAGTAAATTACTAAATGGGGGAGCAGGGCCATCAGGCTTTGATAAATATATGTAAATCAAGTGTAATACAAACCTTCAAGTAAAGAGCTCCTGGGAAGTCAAGAAAAACATATCCCATCTGAGAACCCAAGAGTACTTTTCCAACCCTCCCTCTCCTATTCCTCTCTGTCTGCTGGACCCACTTCTGTCCAACTTGGACTTCAGCCTCTTATCCACCACTCTCACCATCTTTGGCCACACCCAGGAACCGCTACTACTCTATTTTACTTAATATTTTTATTTAATTTATATTCATCCTTTTTTACTTAAATGGATTTAATTTTTAAAAGAAGCTTTATATCATTACCATGAATAAAAAAACTAATAGCACTTACCATAAATATGAAATAACAATAAAAAAACTTTTAATGGAAACAAAGCCATGTAATTAAATTCCAGCTCAATATGAAGGCTTGGGGAAGCCCGAGCCTGCTCTCTCTGTTAAAAGGGGAGGCCAGCCAGTGTCCACAGCCCTGCAAGTGTGCGGGAGCCCATGGCAGTCTCAGCCCTGACTCTCGGCGGACCAAGAGTGCCCAGCAAGATCCTCTCCTGTGATCCCCCCTGGACAGATACCGCTGAAATCACCTCACGACCCCACAGTGATCCTGTGCATTTTTGGAGGGACTTCCCCAGAGTCAAGAACAATGATGATAAATAAATGAGTAAAATAATGAAGAAATGGTAGGAAACAAAAGGGCACATGAAGATGGGGAGATGGGCAAAGGGATCGGGGTCCTGGAGGCATAAAGAGATCAAAAATGATCAATATGTGTTACACACACATACCAATTTCCCAAAATAAATGTAACTATCCTGTACTGTAATCATACACTAATTTTTTTAAAAAGTCGTGGAGACATAAGAAAAAATAACAATGATGTCATCAGTATTTTTTATGCATCACAATAAGAAGAGTGGAACAACTGAGAGTTCTCCTTCCAGAATGCTGGCATAAAGAATATCATGTGGTGGTGAGGACAGAACCGGGGGCTTGGAAGGGACCCCCAGGCCTCCTGTGTGACTTTGGACAAGTGGCTTCCTCTCTCCCATCATCGGAGTCCAGAGGGTCTCAGTGGACACAGAGCTTCTCCAAGACCCTGCACCTCCACTCATTCCTCTAACCCTCTACACAGGCTGCAAAACTGAGACATTTTTACAAGTATACTTCGTGTCATGTGATGAAAAGTATGTTGGAAAGAGTCACCCAGGATCTTGTATGTGAGGCTTCTTCCTCGAAGTACAGAAAGGTAATGCCAGATAATCAAAATGCAAAGCCAAATAGGGAGGGAGGGGAAAAATGAACCTAGATAAATCTCAAAACCCCATGGAATGCAAAAGCCTCTTACTGTTAAAATAGAAGTCCGATCCATGTAAAATAGAAATTTCTGGACATAAAGCCAAGCTCTCCCAGTGTACTTAGACCCTCTTCCAAACCAGGAAGAGAAAGCATCAGGTAATCAAAATTCTTGTGAGAAAACAGCCACAGTCCTTACTATTAGTTGCAATTAATACTAGCAGTGAGACAAAGGCTAAAATATGAAGTCATACATTATGTTTTTTCCTCACAGGTATAGATTTTATTTGACCTACTGCTTTTAAAATAGAATACCTTCCCAGGCACGCTTTACATGATAAAACTCAGAGACAAAAGAGAGAAAATGCAAATCAATTCTACATTACATGTATGTTGCTGCATTTGGCAAAATCAAATGAGATCTTTTCATCTCCTTACTGTAGAACAAAAACAGAGCAATATTATGAAATCTCACAGAGCTTTATTTCTCAGCGTCTTTTGTGTCCAGCCTTTTAAATTCAGGTTTTTCTGCCTTTTTTACTGACAAGCCCACAATTTTCAGAAAAGAAAGCTAGCATTAATTAAGACAGTGCCAGATGTAATTTTCTTGGGAAGTAAATTTCTGCACAACTAAAGGTTACAGAGACCTTTTCACTGTCAAAATTTACTACAGCCTGTGAATGTTAATGTTTCTAATGAAGACATGTTCTCTGTCCCTGAACTTAAAAGTACCCAGAGAAGAAGGCAAAGAGAAAAAAAACTCTATTTGACGAATGTATCTGGAGTCTGTGCATTAATGTAGGGAACTCTGGGCTGCCGATGCACGTTGTAATTATAGTGTTTGGATAGCCTTGTTTTCTAAACAAGGAATATTGCCATAAATTGGCAATTTTGCATGAGGAGTGGGATGGTAGTAGGTGCCTATGTTACAAATGAGCCCGAAGTATAATAAGCATTTACCCCATTAGGCCTAAGGACGTGCACTTTCTAACTCTGGGACAAGCAGGAAGGGAAGCAGACAGAAGGAGGCCCTCCCTCATCCCCCAAGGCTGGGCACCAGCCTAGGCATAGGGGGTCCTGGGTTTCTGATTCTTTAACTCCCTCCCACCCCAGCACCTATGCTCAGAAGGTTACCTATGTGTTTGGAGATTCAGGTGTGGTTTGTTTTTGGCTCCAGCATTCAGTTTTGTTTTGGTGGCCTGATTACTAGGGACATCAGGGTTTTCTGTCCCATTCCCAAGGTAAAAACTGTCATGCTGAAGAAAAGCACGGTGTGCTCATTTTTCTCTTTTCTGGTACTGACGATTGAACATAGTACCTTTGCACTGAGCAAAATCCTCAGTTGTTTTTTAATTTAAATTTAATTTTTTTTTGACAGTCTCATTAAGTTTCCCAGACTGGCTTTAAGCTTGTTACCTTCCTGCCTCAGCCTCCCAGAATGCTGAGATTACAGGAGTGTGCCACCATGTGTGGCTCATTGCTGCTGTCTTGCTAAAGTTTCTTGGAGTGAGACGTTATCGGGTCCTGTGTTGTGCCTAATATGTGACTCCTCCTCTTTACTAAGTGCAAGAGTAAGGTAGCATGCATGACTTTATTTGGCAATAAAAGATGCTTTTCTCATTGACCTGGTGATGTATTTTCAGGAAACTTTTCTAAGAATATAACATGTAATGACCAAGGAGATGGTCTCCCAAAACTAGTAATGACAATTAGCAAAACATAAAATCCTGAATGTTCAACAACTTGAGAATAATTCTATAAATAACAGCACACCCCTAAGATGGAATATTATATACAAGCACCGATCTTCCTGAGTAATGCTTCAATCCAAAGAAATATGTTTATATTATACAGTATGTAAAAAGCAAGACACAAAATTTTGTGATCTCAGCATTTTCAAAAATGTTTAGAATGAAGCCTGGAAGAAAATGCATCGAATTATTAATCATGGAAGTTTTTGTGTAGCAAAATATTGAGGCTTTTATTTTCCTATTTAAATTATCAGAAGAAAACTTTCTTAAAATTTGCCTGAAGTTTATTTATTTTTAACATTGGGAAAAATACTAGATCGTGTCATCCAGAGGTAAGACTTGGTCAGCATCAGAGTCCAATGTGGACTCCTTGTATTCTTTACACTTTGATTTATTACTCTCCATATTTCCTTTCAATCAAGATTGGCAAGCATTTTATTTGGAGCATCAGATACTACTTTAGACTTTATGGGTTGTAAGATCTCTGCTGCAGCTGCTCAGCTCTGCCCTAGTAGTGCGAAACCAGCCAGGCTGTACATAAACTAATGAGCATGGTTGTGTTCCAGTACACTGTATTTACAAAAAACAGAGAGGGTCCAGATTTGTCCACCAGAAGCACTTTGCTGAGGTCTTTTAAAATCAGAGTGTTGTACTATTGAATTCCAATACATAAGCATAATGATCTTAATACCTCGAAGGTAGAGAACTAACACTCCTGTTTTATGGAGGAAGAGACTGGGACCCAGAAAGGACAAGTGAGATGTCAGTCATAGAGCAAGTCCTCAGCAGAAATGGCAGGGAAACCAGTGGTACCTTGCCTTCCCAGAGTGCTCTTTGCCTAAGCTGCTCAGTCTCTCTCTTGGGTCTCAGCCCAAATCCTCTCCCCATCTGGTGGCCAGAGATCTCAGTGTCTAGCTTGGCACCAGTTGCCCTGCCCGAGAAAGCTCTTCAGCAGTGCTGAGCTGCCCCCATTCCCGCCTCTCTGCAGCGTCCTTTCTGAGGACTTGGATGGCGCTTTCTGGGGCATCTCTCTGACTACTACTATCTCCTGGCAGTGGAATGACCAACATCCTTGCTTTACCCAGCACAGAGCTAGTTTTATTCCTTGTTCCATAATTATTGTGTTCCTTTTTCTCTCAAAAGTGACTAATTTGTATGATAAACTGTCGATTACTTTTCCCCAGGTGAATTTAGTGGAGTCGCAAGAAGAAATTATGAAAGTTCAACTAGCCACAAAAAATCACATAAAAGAAAATGTTTAAAAAGCAAAAATTTACAAGTAAGTACAGTGGGTGACTCTGCCTCTGTCACACTGACTGGCAGAATCCATGACTCCTGGTGGGCTTGAAAGAGGGATGCCACACTAAAGCTTCCACAAATCTACTCTCGAAAAGATTGGCGGTCATTTATCTCTTGTTGATTTTCCCTCGAGTGCGGCTTTGAACCTAACTCCCTCGTGGGATCCTCTGTGTGCGTAGCTCTTGTGCCTCCTCTTTCGTGCCCACTTGCCTGTGGCACAGACTAGGTGCTCAACCTGTTTCTCGGAGACACTCCTCTTGGTCCTACGGCCCTGCCCTCCTACAAGACTCTAGATGGTTCTTTCCATTGCTTCATTTGCGATCTTTCACATAAACCCCTTCCGGCATACTCCTCTGGACTTCTCAACATAGGGAGGGCATCAGAAGGTTGTAGAATGTGTAGGTTGTCACCTGAATCGACACACGTATTCAAGAGTGTCCAAGGCACATCGATGGCAGAAGAGTTGTACAATCATGAAAGAGAAAGGATATATGCAAGGAGAACAAAGGAAAACATGTGCCATATCACTCTCCCCAAAGACCTTTATCCCATCCATCCTCAGGCAGCCTTGTCTGATGCTGGGAGAGAAAGATAAACAGAGAAGCAAAATCATGGAGAACCAGAATTCAGAGCTCCCCCTGAACCAGGGATTCCAGATCATGGTGACTACAGTCTTCAGACCATAGCATCACTAGGGACCTTGTTAGAAATGCAGCTTCTCAGGCCTCACTCTACTCACCCCAGTCCTCCTGCATCCAAGGTGCTCAGAGGCTCCAAGGTGTGGGAGCCACTGCTGTGTGCCAGAGAACAGGGTCCAGTGAGGGTCTTGCTTTTGGGCAGAGCTAGTGGTAGAAGTTGCTGAGATAGCTCAGTGAGGGAGGATGGTGCTGTAGTTTTGAGTTATTTAAATGATACTAGATGACCAGATGGCAGAAGTGTCTTCCTCTGAGTTGACTGAAGAATTATAGTCTGGGGAGCTGCAGACACAGGCAAGTGGCATTCTCAAGGGAGATTGGAGCTCCTTTCCATGGCCATGGCCTTGGTGATATTCTTGGTCCCTGCTCCATGAGATTTTCCCAAGAATTCTCATGTCAATGCCCCATCCCTTCCCTGTTTACCTGGCAGGTTGAGGAGCCTGACTCCAGCCCCGCCCCTCTGAAGACAGTGCCCACATGAAGAAGCATGCTGGGAATGAGGTGGTGCGGTCTTCTTCCCAGAGCTTGGGTTACTAAGGAAACCACCAAGTGCCTTTGTCTACATAGGCCCCACATAAGGCCACCAGAACAGGAGAGGACAGCAATGTGGGCGACCCATAAAAGTGATGAACGGTCACTCTCCACCTTGGTGATGCTGCCCAGAAGGAATTTTGAACTCTGAGAGATAACATAGACAATGAAGCGGAGGAGGAGGAAGAAGAAGAGAGACACAGAGAGAGAGAGAGACAGAGGAGAGAGACAGACAGAGAGACAGAGAGAAAATTTGAGACCTAGGCCATAGAATTCCAATGGGTTGCCAGAAGTGTCTCCATTTCTCTGCTGCTAAAAGTCAGGCTCAGCACCCATCCATCGGAGAGACTGCTGCGTGGCACAGGGCCTTGCAAGATGTTCCCAGGTGGGATTCAACTTCAGGGCTAGTCATGCAGGTTAGAGGTGTGTGCGTGTGTGTGTGCATGTGCGTGTGTGTGTATGTGTATGTGGTGTGCATTTGGATTTCACACCTTGCTTGGCTCTATCTCTTTTATTCAAAAGAAGTGTTTTGTTCCTCTCTCCCAGCCTTGCTCTCCTCCTCCCTCCCTTCTCCTTCTTTCTCTGTCCACGGCCCTAGTAGACTGATGCGCCACCTGGGTAGGAAAACCACAGCCCAGCTAAGCCTAATGTGGAGCCTCAAGGATGCCAGTGCTGCTAAGCTCCTCGTGAGCCCCATCTCTCCTCCCAGCTGTCACCTAGGGGCATCTCTGCAAATCGTACAGCCGCTTTTCTCAAGCAGCCCTTGAACTCCTCCTCTGGGCTGCTGTGTGGGGATACGCCAGGGACATCTCTGTGAGTAGGATCTGGCCGGGCCCTCCAGCATGGAGCAGCACCAAGCAAGGAAGCTACCTTGTAAGCAGCACCATAAGAGCAGCTCCCCAACCCTCAGGGAAAACACACACTATAGAAGAGGCCTCCCAGAATAGGAATGGGTCTGGGCATCCTCAGGTGGATGAGGAGAAAGAGATTCATCGTGTTGTAGTCTCTTGTCCCCAAACAGCCTGCACTCACTTGACAAGGCCAAAGACCTGGGGGTAGAGGTGCTGTGGGATGCTGAAGGGTGGAGATCTGGCCACGGCTCAAAACTCCAAAGAGCACTGCTCATGAGTTATGAAATATAGGTGGAGAAGGTCACAGCAATGCAAAGTTCCTCTGTGCCCATGAAAAGGGCAAGCTCAGAGGCACTGGGGAAATGACACCAGTGAGTTTACCTCTGGAAGAGAAGAGCTGCCCAGACCCTTAGAGGATGCCATGCAGTCAGTGCTGCCCCAGAATCCAGCCTACCTGAAGTCTTTTCCTTGGCTTCATCCTCATTCTTGGTAAGATTTAAGGCCCCTTACAGCCATCTGGAAGATTCAAAGAGGCCTCAGAGGGAGAAGCCCTGCCCACGATCCCATGAACTAGGAGACAGCCTTTCCTCCACTCATCATAGTAGCTTTTCTTCCTGGGTGTAGAAAAGGGAGATGGGAATAGAATGGAGAAGCCCATCCTTCCCAGAGGCTAACGATGATGGGCAGTTACCATTCATATTTGCACAATGAAAGTATGATTGAAAAATGAAAAATATGCTGAACGTTTGAATGTTTAAAAATGGATTGCAGGAAAAGACATTGCCATGAATCTCCTCCAAATACTCCCCCCTTATTTCAAACACACTTATTTCATTATTCTTGCAATTCTCTGAAGGAGTTCTGGAAGTCCTCTTTTGTGACTGGGTTTCTTTTGTGACTGCCTTGATTTCCTGAATTGGTTCCAAATGTTTACCTTTTATGGTCATTTTGACTTTGTGGAAGAAGTGCTTAGTGCCAGATCTGGTGAGTAAGGTGCATGAGGAAGTGCAGTGATGATTTTACAAGGCTGCCTTTCTACCCGATGGTACTTAACAGCAGCATTCACTGAATTTTTGATGCTTCATAAAGACATTCCTAAATGAAGACTTCCAGAATTGCTTCAGAAAGTGGCACAAATGATGGGATAAGTGTGCTGAAATCCAGGGGAAGTATTTTGAGGGAGATTAATAGCAATGTGCCTTTTCCTGTAATAAATTTAAACATTCACCATATATTTCGATTACTCCCTTATATACTTTTTAAATTGCAGTGTAGCTTTGCTTATTCCTGTCCAACTTGTAGACCATTGTGACCCTTAGCTCACTTTTCACTGCCTGTCTTTCCTCAGTCTAGGGTATGTGCTTGCCATGTAGCTCACAGAACTCCTTAGTTCTTATTTCTCAGTGATGACAACCCTTCTTCTCAAGTGTAGGGAAATGGCCTTGGGGAATAAAGAAGCAGGAGGAATGTGATAAAAGTATTTTGTTAAATATTTCACTTTTCAACTTGAAAGCTAACACCTTGTTGCTTTCCTCCATGTCACCCACTTGCAAGTGACTTTGGCTTCCATGCTCATCTCTCCAATGTTATCCCCACCTTCAGCCAAGTAAGAAATGTTTCTTGGTCCCTTCTCAATGCAGCTTGCAGAAAACTATTGGTACACAGAGCAGAGAGGACCAGCATTGAGGAAGCCCAGGAAAGGCTTAGCCCAGAAAGTAGTGATGAAACAAGAAGGGACGCAGAGTGGCTGTGAGTTGTAGGAAGGGGGGCTGCCTCATTGCCGGAGAGTGTGGACACTAACATCCCCCCATTGCACACGAGCAAGCTGAGGTCTGGAGAGTCTAAATGGGATGCCCTGATCCACACAGCTGAAACTGGAAGCTCAAGTGCAAGGGCACAGAGTGTGCTATTCCCACCCACTGCTCTTAGCTTCTGCGCCTGCTCTGTTCCAGCTTCCCCTCCTTTGGGAAGCCCTCCTAATGGAGCTCAGCCTCTTCCGGCCCTCTCTGTTGCACACGGTACGTTACCTTTCTGGACGTGGTAGCTCTCTGGAACCCTTGGGCCTCCTCACTGAGGAAATTTGCTTCCTCATTTCTCCTCTGGCCAAGCATGTTGGGAACCACTTGCTAGCCAAATCTGCTGGCTGCTGGAAGTGGTCCATGTCCATTGTGTCTCCTCAGGACTCCTGGGCAGTTTACAAGGGGTATCAAGGTGGGAGGGGTGGTAGAGAGATTCATCTGAGCCTGGATGGGAGGCCTGTGGACGGCAAGGCCAGCTAAAGGGAGAGAGATGGCCCTGATGAGAAGGGAAGAGGGTAGGGAGCCATGACAGCAAGTTTCAAGGACGCTCCCTTCAATTTTCTTTCTCTTCTTTCTGAATTCGTTATACTGAGAATTGAAAACAGGACCTTCCAGCTGAACGGTATGCCCAAACTGTTGTTTGATTTTTTTATTTTGAGACAGGGTCTCTATAAGTCACTATGTTGTCCAGGCAAGGCTTGAACTTGTAATGCTCCTGCTTCATCCTCCCAGCGTGCTAGGATTGACAGGCCTGCCCAACCATCCCTGCCTTTGATTTTCATGTTAGCAAAACTCCAGCATGCACCTTGGCAACAACACAATGCTGAGAGCAAACAGGAGACAGCAGGCTGCAGGACAAGGCTGACTTCTTGGTGCCCATGAATAACTCAGCAGCCATGGGCTGCCGGGGACCAGCGAGGGCTATCAATCCAGCTGGGGTGAAGAGTGCAGGCCCCAGGGTGGATGGAGGGCTCACTCCCTCCAGTCACCATCCCACAGCTGTCACTGATTTCCACCATGGAGTAATCTGCCCTCAATTGTCAATATTTTTAATTTTTCAAGAGAAATGCCAAATCTGGCTTTTTATGTAAAATATCCCAAATTTAAAGTTTATAGGAAATGTAAAAATGAACATTCTACAAATCCATTCAAACCTTTCGATGGGCCTGTGCGCAGCTTCTGATTAGAGCTGTCTTCCCCTTTGGCCTGGTCTCAGAGGGAGGGCAGAGCTGGGAACTCAGCTGCCAGCTGTCATGGGCTTCCTTCTCTGGAACGTGTCAGCAACCATGAGAAACCCTGGTCAGGTGGCACTTCTCTTTGGGAGTGCTGCCCCATGTCCCTGGAAGTGTCCCCACCAGAGCCCTGTCTTTAGTCCTCTGTCCTGCCACGCAGTGGGGCCACCTGCTCTTGGCAGGCACTGGCTCTCCCCATGCCCCAGCCCCAAGTCCCCTGCCCATCTCCCCAGGCGCTCCCTCTACTTCTGCTCCTGCAGCCTTGTCCTCAGCAGGGAGCTGCTGCCTGCCTGCCTGACAACTGTCAGCCCGAGGTGTGGACACCTTCTCCTTGGTGGCTTCCCCTTTTTCATTAGGTTTGACAATGCGTTTTTCCGAGATTAATAGTGCAAGGGGAGCCAGGATATGAGGCTTTTAGTGGTGACAAACTGCCAGGCCCAGGTGGCTCTGGAAGTTGTGTTGCAGCAGGAACAGGCAAAGGCAGAGCCCTGGGGGCTGGGGAGAGGGGAGCAGGGGCTGCCACTTCCATGGTGCTTGGATTCAGCCAGACCTGCCCCTCATCCAGAATGTTTCCTGTGCCTATGACATAGTTGTTTCTGCTCCCAGCACTTCCCTAGGATGCCAAGGTGGCTGATACTAAGGGTTTTCCCTCACTGGACCCTAACACAAAGCCAAGAAAGGCCAGATCCTCCCTTCAAGTTCTCTTCCTACATGAAAGCCTTTCTTTCCATTCTCAGCTCTATTTGCTCCTATCTTTCTGCTTCCTTCGCCTTCCACCAGTCCTGCCTATATAGTACCAAGGTGTTGAAAACAGAAGGATTCAGAACACAGACCAATGTGGCCAGTTTGATTGCATTGGACCCTAAAAACTGCCCTTGGCCACCAATATCAGCACCACTACTGTTCCGAGAGCAGCAAACCACATGTGTGCCCTTGTCCGGCTGGGAAGGTGGAGCTTTGGGTACAATCAGGGAAAGGTGGAGGGAGGATGCATGTTATTAATTCCCAGAAATATCTCTCCACCTGATAACATCCTCTACACACATAGAAACACTCACTCACATCCATGGACACACATGAGCATGTGTAAGCACATGTACATGCTCAGAAATACATGCACTCACTCGTGCATGCTCAAATGCATGTCTACTCAGTGCACATTTACATGCACATAAACATATTCATAAGCATCCACACAGAAGGTCGTGTGCAGACAAATGTGTCTGTGCTCACACACACATAATCTTATCCACACACCTACACACACCCCTATCTGCTCCCTAGGAACAGCCTCAGGTCCTACCTCTGCTTCAGCTTGAATCCCTAGGCTGAAGAACATTTAGAAACCATCTCATTCAGACTCTTCAGTAAGCAATCTGAGGCCCAGAGAGGGGAAAGGATTTTCCCACTGCCATACAGCCTTTTAGGACATGAACTGAGCTTGAAATCCTGACATACCTACTTCAACCAGGTTTTTTCTCAGAAAAAATTGACTCTGACTTTGAGGATAAAAATACTTCCCAACTTACATGATCCCTTTTAATCATCATGATTTATCTGAGAGGCCATTGTGATTATTAAGATGGAATCCATTTTACGGATGAGGACATTGAGGCCTAGGCAGGATAAATTTCTCACCTAAAACATGGAGATGGTCATAAAGGCTCCTGGCTCCCAGGCTGTCACTGGATGCGCCTTGGAGTGGCCTCCTCCCCTGACTGTGACCTGACCCCATGGTAATCTTTTCTCTGTCCCAGCTCCGTCTTTGCGTTGGACACTCAAACAATGGAGCCCAAATCTTTGCTGATGGCAGGTAATAGCTGTATGGCCCCAGACGTGTCACTTCAATGGGGAGGCCTATGTTTGCCAAGTGGTAAAATGAATGAGAAGGGTGACAATGGCTATCTTCTGAGGCTGTTTCAAAGATTAAATAAACACATACATGCATATACTTTCAAACTGTAGGCATCGCACCAAAATGTGAGAACATTTTATTTGGAGATTACTTTAAAATGCTTTTAGGATCATGGAAGCAGATACGGGGTTCCTCTTTCATGGACTCTCTCATCTGTCACTTGCCTGACCTATCAGATCCAACCTTCAAAGTGGATTCATCCGTGGATGAAAGTTTGGGTCAATGGATAATGTACTATAAACAAAAACTTCAGTAATATGTTAAGGTATAGCTGGTGGTTAGTATATAGTGTTCACTATAAACTACAGCTTTCTGAACTTTTGGCTGGCCTGGGTCACAATGAGTGAAAAGGAACTGCTTTGGCTGCATATGAAATTCTTAATATAGTTCATATCTATAAGTAACAGAACTTTCTTTTATATGTTTTAACTCAGGGGTCCCCAACCCTGTGATACAGGCCCCTGGCCTGCTAGGAACAGGGCCACACAGCAGGAGGTGAGCAGCAGGTAAGCGAACTGCATCTGTACTGTCTGCACTTACAGCTACTCCCCTGGTTGCCGTTGTCCCCAGAGCTCCGCCTCCTGCCAGATGAGCAGCATCTTTAGATTCTCATAGGAGCTTAAACCGCCCTGTGAACTGTGCATGCAAGGGGTCCAGGTTGGGCAATCCTGTGTATCATCCCAACCCCGTGCCTATCCACAAAAGCGCTGTCTTCCATAACACTGGTCCCTGGTGCCAAAAAGGTTGGCGATTGCTGTTTGAGCGTATTAAATTATTTTCTAAAATAAAAGCCCAAGTTAAATAACTAGGAAAATTTACTCATCTGCTTAATAACAATAAATGCCTGCCTTCACAGGCACACATACTTGTAGGTAGATTGAAATACTGTTATCAAAAATCACTGTGTTTTACTCTCAGTATTGTACAGAACAGGCAGCATCTGATATAGGACCTGGGTTAGATGTTTAGATGCACAGGTTTAGATTTGTCTGAGTGTGTGTGGCAGGGTCAGGGGGCAGAGTTAGTATCACTCTGCATCCTTCCCTACACTACATTCAGCTCTCACCTATACAGTCAGTGCTCAAGAACTGCGCAATATGATGAAAAATACTGCTAAAATCATGGGATAATATTTTTGAAGATTGCAGTCTTGTAGGGCCTCATGACTAGCTGTCCAGGGCTGAATGTGGTCCATGAGCCATGGGTTGGATACACCTGCCAGTCCAGACATAGTAGAGCACACCTGTAATCAATCCCAGCACTCTGAGTGAATGAGTCAGGAGGATGGTGAATTCAAGCCCAGCTTGGACAATTTAGTAACACACCAAGATCCTGTCCCAAAATTTAAAAAAGAATTCTTTTGAAGGGCTGAGGGTGTAAAATGTTGGAAGAAAGTTGAAAATAAGAACAAAGGCGTCCAGTACTTGCCATCCATGATAAAACATCTTGAACCGAGGAGCATGATTAATTCTTTCTTTGTCTCTGAGGTCCAAAAAGAAAAAAATACAAAAACTGTAAGGTTGTGTGTGTTAGGCTGAACTACCAGATATTTGACCATGGCAACACCGAGTCCCTGGTGCTGGAGAAGACTTCTGTGACACTGAGATCCCCACAGCAGACCAGGAGTCATGACGCGTGCTCATCTGCCTGGGAAGGCTCCTGTTGCCCGTGGGGGTGCACCTACCCCTTACAGCACCGTGGAATCCAGCAACAATTTACAGAGTGAAGTGGGGAGCAGGGGTTCACAGAGCAGCCCTCAGAGCCTGAGGTGCACCCACAAGAATGTCCACTCCCATGGTCTTCAGAGGAATACTTCCTGCTCATCCAGGCACGGCCAGGGCCCCTCCTCTGGCTCCCAGTGCACCTGCTTCACAGGCTACCAAGCTACTTGCAAGTGTTCTGGGAAGATTTGTTTACAAGCTACTATGGACTCAATGCCTGTGTCCCCTCAAAACTAATATGTTGAAACCTAATCTCTGATGTAATAATATTAGAAGTTGGGACTTTGGGGAAGTGACTGGGGAGCCCGCCTGAATGTGGCTAGTTACTCTTGTGTACTACTCAGCTTTCCATTGCTGAGACAAAACACCTGACACCCATAGCTTAAAGGAGGAGAGGTTTAATTTGGCTCAGAGTTTCAGAAGACTCAATCCATGATCAGCTGGCTCCAAGGCAGAAATGTCATGGCAGAAGGGCATGGAGGAGGAAAACTTCCCAATTCACGGCATTCGGAAAGCAGAGAGCAAGTGAAAAGCCAGAAAGGATGGGGCCAGAGACCAGACATAATGCTCAAGGTCACATCGCCACAACCTATCCAGGTACACTCAAAAGTGTGTTTTACTAATCTAGCGATTTCTCACACCAATCAAAATTAAACATCACACCTTGTAAGGACCCCAAGAGATCAGAGTTCTTCCCTTCCACCGTGTGAGAATAGAAGAAAAAGAAATTTATGAATCTGGAAGAGTGCTGTCACCAGACACCAAATCTACCAGTAACTTACTCTCCAACTTCCCAACCTCCTGAACTGTGAGAAATACATTTCTGTTGTTTCAAATCCACTCTGTTTATGCTTTATTTTTAGAGCAGCCCAATGGTACTAAGTCAAGGAACAATTGGAGGTCAAAGATGGTGACCAACCCACTTGTGCTTTGACCAAAGATCCTCCAGAAATGCCTGTGAGATCAATGGATACCTAGCCCTTTACAACAATGGTACAAAGACCACGGGGCCCAGATAGGATTCTCTTTGCCTGAGCTTCAGGAAAAAGGTCTTAAACTAGAAATGAAGAGGGTTTGTACAACTTCATGATGTAATCTGGAAGATTTCTTCATCTGCCTTTGTCCTATTAAAGATACTTTCTCGTTATGCTCAGTATTTTCCCAAAACCATCAAATAAATGATAGAAGCAGCTCCAGAAAAGTCTGTCTGCTCAGAGATAGTTCTATGTCCATTTTGTGATCAGAAGACTCAGTTGTGGTGTCTCCATGGCTTCTATAAGTTTTACAAGAAGGGTGGTCATGGAGACACAGTATGTGATGACAGCACATATCAGAGCATGGGCTTCCATGTGACCAGGACTCTTCTTTTAGTTGCATGGCTCTCACTAGTTCCCCAATCTTGAGTGAGTTACTTTACTTCTTTGAGCCTCAGCTGATCCATCAAGTCTGCCTCAAAAACTTACTGTGAGGATTAAATGAGATAACAGATGTGAATCACCTAGGAGAGAGTTGGACTTTGAGGGTTACTCCAACCTACTTCCAAGATCTCTAATAACTCACATAGGGTCCAGAAAATTTTGATGATGTTGGACAAACTTACCCAACCAATCCTTTGGTAAATTTGAAAGGAGTAGAGGGAGTGAGTTTGGCTTTATTGGAAATGAATGCTACAGGCATAGCTCCAAACCTCTTGTCAAAATGGTAGCTGATAGAGCTGACTCCGATTTCAATTTATTTTATTTTATTTTTTAAAATTCCCTGTTGGGTGAGCAATACCAGAAGGAATATCCCAAGGAATTACCTCTCTCTATGATAAACCACAATCTGAATATCTTATGTCCCTGAGCTTCCTCCCTCGTCTGAGGAAATGTGCACAAACTTAATAACAGGTCCAAATGCAAAGGAGCCAGAGTATTGTGCCATGGGAATCAATAATGCCTGCTCCTCCACCTAGCAAATGAGAGCCCTGCCCCAACGCGCTGATCTCCCATTAATTCTGGCTGACCAGCAGAGCCGAGGCCACCGGCACGCCCAGAAACCCAGACCTCCAACCCGTAGTGGGGCAGAGTCGAACTTCCCCCCAAAGGTTAATGAGGCGATTATGTTTCTGGTTAAAGATGAGAGCAGACAAGGCCACTGGGTTCATTATAACGCTTAGAATGCAGAGCGCTTCACAGGAGAAGGAAAAGCACAGGATAAGCAAAGCAGAGGGTGGAAGTGGAAGGCCAAATCAAGAAAATGACAGAAGCTGGGAGGGGTGGTGCACACCTGCAATCCCAGCTCATTGAGGGGCTGAAGGAAGATGATCACAAGTTCAAGCCCAGCCTGGGCAAGTTAGTGACTTAAAGAGAACCTGTCGCAAAATTGTAGAAGACTGGGAACACAGCTCAGTGTGAAGACCCTGGATTCAATCCCCGGGACTGAAAAAAGTAAAAAAGAAAATTGAAAGGAAGAAACAAACAAGCCTAAAATAAAAGATTTCATGCTTCGCGTATGAGAGCAAAGTTGTGTGAACTAGAACAGGGACATTATATAATCTTGTCCGTCCTTAGGGTTTGAGGATGACTTCTCTCACATGTAAAATGCATAGGAGACGAAGGAGCATGAAAGGAAAGAGGCTAATGAAGGAAGCATGGAGCTAGAGACACGAGTTGAGAAGAGGCCCTGGGGCAGGAGGCTGCCGTCCAGTTTTGTGAACCAAAGTGTTAAGATAGGGAGGACAGGTCTCATCTTTGCCTGGAGGAAAGGAAGTCGTAAAAATCAACTGGGCTGGGCTTAATAACAGTTTGGATACGGTGGTGGGAAAGGAGTGATCAAAAAGAAAGTTTCTAGGGTGATTCTTGGATTTTTGCCTTTGTAGCTGGTCCAAGCTATAGCAGAAGCTTTCTCAGTATCCAGCAGTGTGTGACCAGCATAGGGCCCCTATCTAATCCAGGCCTGCACTTTGACTACTAGGACTGTCAGGCTCTTTGTCTAGGCAAAGGGGGAAAGAAAGCGATTCCATACACCCAATACCTGCAGTGCTCACAGAATAACTGGGGAGGCCCTAAGGAAGGTTTACAGCACTTCACAGTGTGCATGCGAGCTCATATAATCGATCTCTGATGTACTGAGGTAGGGCTTAAGCATATTAAGGCTGGAGGGCAAGTGTGTTTGCATCACTGTGTAAGAATAAAGAAACCAAAGGTGTAAGACTCACCCCAGGTGTCTTGTTCACCAGTGTGCACCCTGGCACTGGACTCAGGACACAGCAGGTGGTTAATACCTGTGTGCTGAGTGAAGGGAGAGATGCCTGTCCAAGATCACTTAGTACAGGACATAAGCTAAGGGTTTCCACCCAGACGTCTGACACAGCTCATTGTCCCCATGACATTGGACTTGATCCATTTAGAAAGGGAAATGTGTAAAGCAGGACCTGCCAGAGACAGCAGCGATGAGGCACAAGAGGTGTAGTTGGCTCATCGTGGGCAATGGCTTTCCCAGAAACGTGTCCCAGGTACCTGTGGAGCACATGCTGGGAGTTGGAGACATTCTTGGTTGTCGCAGATGGTAAAGAAATCATCTAGTTCCAAACGCAGAGAGTAGCTTTCCCCTGATGCAGGAGAGCAAGGACACCAATGTCCATCCTCTATGTCACCCGCATGTATATAAATCAGGATGTGCCTGCTTAATATGGGGCTAAGGATGAAGTTGGAAGTGGGACTAGAACACCAGGTGTGGTGGCACATGCCTTTAATCCCAGCACTCTGAGTGGCTGAGACAGGAGGAGAACTTCAGCCCAACCT